AGTACCATGTGTGGCACCATTATCATACATAGAGTACCATGTGTAGCACCATTATCATACATCATACATAGAGTACCATGTGTGGCACCATTATCATACATAGAGTACCATGTGTGGCACCATTATCATACATAGAGTACCATGTGTAGCCCCATTATCATACATATAGTACCATATATCACATGTGTAGCACCATCATCATACATAGAGTACCATGTGTAGCACCATTATCATACATAGAGTACCATGTGTGGCACCATCATCATACATAAAGTACCATGTGTGGCACCATTATCATACATAGAGTACCATGTATGGCACCATTATCATACATAGAGTACCATGTGTAGCCCCATTATCATACATAGAGTACCATATATCACATGTGTAGCACCATCATCATACATAGAGTACCATGTATCATATGTGTAGCACCATCATTATACATCTAGTACTATGTATGAGTTATGTATTTGCCTATGTGATATATTTGAGAATGATCCCGCTAAGGAATCTTTCTTCTCCTGAAATATAAAATACAACAGACTAAATCTCTTATCTTTTATACATTTTTTACCCTCCATGTATATTCTAAGCCTTATCTCTGCATATTGTATTGCTATTTCTTCCTATTCATCGATCTATCTTCTCTATTCTGTCTCTGCCACTTTGTCTCTTATTTCCTTAAATTTGTCTACTTGCTTCCTTTGAACAATGACATCATGGTATCAAACAGGATGATTTAATAGATAAGGAGTGCATTTCCTAGCATTTACCGGTTTTGTGTAGTGATTATCATTGTTCAAATGAAAATTTGAATAAGTTAGGAAATATTAAACGACTTGCACTTCTTATCTTGTTAACAGTGTCAACACTTTGTAACAAGAGAACTCCTAGTAAATGTTGGAAATTAGCGATGCCTGGCTATATATATAGCTAGCTGGCCATGGTCGGTTGTTGTCACCTCAGTCAGGTTTTGTGTTTGATGTAGTAGTTGTAACTTGATCTGTCCATCTTAAATGGCACACAGCTGCCTGCCAAGCATGGCACCGTTGGAACATGGCATTACATATGCTATCATTAACCCAAATACTATACAACCGTCACAAGACGGTATTGTTTTCATGCAGGAGGTGTGAACGCTTGCCATTAATTATGCATGCTGATATTTTGCATAAGGTTCATTGCGGGTCTAACATTGATACAGTGTAGCCAAAAATGAAGGGTTAGGATTAACCCTAGCCCTAATAAAAAATAAAAATGAGGGGCCTGCATCAGAGATACGGACACTGATTAATCCTGAAGTCTGTCTGTCCATCCATACTTTTGCTTCAAAGATTATCACCGAATCAAAAAAATTTAGAAATTTTACAAAGTGATTCACTGTTATTGAAACATAAAAAAAAAACCAACAGAATTATGCTTTCAAAAATACATTGTCTTGCTTTTTATGAAATGGGGCCCTGTGTCAGGTCAGAAATGGGGCTCTGTGTCGGGTCAGAAATGGGGCCCTGTGTCGGGTCAGTAATGGGGCCCTGTGTCAGGTCAGAAATGGGGCCCTGTGTCGGGTTAGAAATGGGGCCCTGTGTCGGGTCAGAAATGGGGCCCTGTGTCGGGTCAGAAATGGGGCACTGTGTCGGGTCAGAAATAGGGCCCTGTGTCGGGTCAGAAATGGGGCCCTGTGTCGGGTCAGAAATGGGGCCCTGTGTCGGGTCAGTAATGGGCCTTATGTAGAAACATCTAAAAAAAATCCCAAACCACTGGTTAACCCTAATTAACCTTTAGCAACCAGGGCCAGGTGGCCAAGGGACAGGGTCAAAGGAGGTCAAAGGAGGTCACAGAGTGTAAAACATTCACCACCATTTGTATACAACAAGCGTTAGCTGATAAGCTCCTGATTGTAATTACTCTCCTGTTTCCATGTACAACTTACACGTCCTGTTTCCATGTACAACTTACACGTCCTGTTTCCATATGCACTATTATTGTTTACATCAGTTGAAAATCTCTGCAACTTAATTGTTATTTACTAGAATACTTTCTACTTCTTGAGGCTTTCAAAGTTTTTAACATTCAGTTGCTTAAATGTGACAGTGAACCAACTTCTGGACAATTCTGATGCTGTCCTTCCATAAGGCCTTTTGGGCCTGCTATTATTAATATACAACATTTGATATAGCGCCCTGTCTAGCTAACATAAGCTACTCTAAAGCGCTTTACAGTTCACACAATTAATGCAATTAGCATATACATTAATCAATATAATTTTTGAGGAATTCGCAGGAGCTGCCTTATCAGGCACTAACTACTAGTCCTATGCCACCTGGCTTATATCTCAATATGTGTTTATGCCTGGTGTGTGCTGGAGATTGATATGTGTTCTGTTTTATACACAACATATAAGATAAAGCGGAAATAATTCTAGAACTCGTTTATTAAAATTTAGATTCTAAAGTATAATAAATCTACACTTTGGCTCTTCTTTGGGGCTACTCACCATTTAATCTTTACATAATAGAAACTAGAAACATAATGCAATATCACCTGCATGTATCTTATAAATTGCACCATTATCAAAAAACCAATCTTATACCAAATTATCCAATAATAGTGTGATCTTAATAAAAGCGAAGAATAATTATTATCTGAATGGGGAAAAGAATTCCCTTGAATTCTAATGGCCAAATGAATGAAATAATGCTTGCATAAATGAGCGAGAGCCCCAAGAAGATTTTTGTAGTGGGACTTTGCTTTCAACAGCATCATTTATTATGCCACCTCAGACAGGAGAAAAACACTTTCTCTCAATATCCATGCATACGACGACATCAGGGATCGAACCCTGTCTGTCCACCTGGTGGTAGGCCGGAGTGTTAACCACTCGACCAATCTGCCCCATTACATAATTTTTTTACACAATCTAGAACTCATGCATCATTTCTGTATGATTTTAAAATTGGCAATTAATTAACCATAATTAGTTGCCATTCATATTATGTATATTTTGCAGGTCTATTATCATACATCTTTAATTCACTATCTTGTCCTGTATGGAGAAATGGTTATAGATTGGTTTTTGGTAGAGGATTTTTTTAACTCTTAACATAATATAATGGCTAAATATGTGTGTTTTTTTTATAAATATTTAAGTTCCCTCTGGATATACTGAGTAGCTTGTATACATCTGACAGTGGGTTAAATGTTTAGTACAAAATAGTGTCTGGTTTCCATTGCTGTAACTTTTGCGAGAACTGTAAAATGATATTTATATGAAAAATAAACTGTGATTAAGATATTAATTTTTGTC